TTTAAGACATTTAAGCTCCAGAATGGTGAAAAATAAATTCCTATGGTTTATAAGAATCCCAGTTCATGGTAATTTGTTACAGTATCCCTAGGAAATAAATTTAGGAAATGAGTACCTGGTTTGTCAATGTGTCAGAAAATAGGTACGAGAAAATTTGCTTTCTTCCTGATATGGCTGTATTGAGTTCTCTCCTTGTTAATTAACTCTCCCAAATGTTTTTTCACAGACATTGGATTATCCTGCTTTGTTTCTCACAGTTACTCCTAAAAGGCACCATCAGAAGCAAATGAAGGAAGAAAATGGACTGAGCCAATGGATGGAACTCATCTGCTTTGATGGACAGAATGTTGGGCAAGGAAAAAGGAGGAATGTGAACAAAGCTCTTCTGAGCTTCGGATGCTTCTAAGCAGTTGAACAGAGAGCCGCTGTTTATTTCCCAGAGGCTCTTCCATTATTCACAGGAATGCCTCCACCTGCCACAGTCCTAAATGGACTTAAAGTTCTCACTACTCAGGAATTGACTACACTGTTTTGGAAGATGCTTCAATGTATGTGCACATGTGTGCATTTTTGTGTTGGAGTGACATGCCTGCATTCACATTGACTTTCATGGATGCATTTTTGTTTTTAAAATTTTTTTATTTGTTTTTAGATATACATGACAGAGTGTATTTTGACATATTACACAGACATAGAGTATAATGTATTCAATTAGGATCCCATTCTTGACATTGTACATGATGTGGAGTTTCAGTGGTCATGGATTTATATATAAACATAGAAAGTTAGGCCTGATTCATTCTACCGTCTTTCCTATTCTCATCCCACTCCTTTCCCTTCATTACCTTTTGTCTAATCCAATAAACTTCTATTCTCTGCCCCTCTTGTTGTATGTGAGCAACCATATCAAAGAGAACATTTGACTTTTGGGTTTCTAGGATTGTCTTATTTCACTTAACATAAGATTCTCCAGATCCATCCATTTACCAACAAAAGTCATAAAGTCATCCTTTTTATGGTTGAGTAATATTCTGTTCTGTATATATACACTATATTTTCTTTATCCATTCACATGGATGCATTTTTGGCCAAGAAATGTTTTTGCTGTTGGGTATTACTTTACCATACTATACATTCTTAACTCTTTTCTTTTTAAAATTTATGTCTTCAAAGAGCAAGTGGGAAAAGTTCTCCTCACTGGCTTTTATCCAGTAATGAGAGAAAAACACATAAAAAATAATCATATCAGAAATCTAGTAAATTTCACAATTTTTATAATGGGCTAATTCTGATACAACATCAATTATTCATCAACAAATTTAGAAAACTAGTTTTCATTCATAATCAAAAAATATTATTGATATGTGTGAACTTTAAATGTTATTAGATATTTATAAATTGCTCTCCTGAAAGATTGCCTAAATTTGAAGTTTCATTTTTGTGTTTAAGAACAGAACTTGGTAAATATCTGTTCAATATATATGAGAATGAGTACCTATTTCTTCATGTTCTTGTCAACAATAACCATTGTTGAATTTTAAGATGTTTATCTGGTAGATGAAAAGTGATACATTATTGCTTTAATTTGCACATCTGTAATTGTGAGTGATGTTGAACACTTTGATTTTACTTATTTGCTGGTCATTTACATTTTATTTTCTAAAAAACTGTCTTTTGTGTCCATTGTCCATTTTCTATTGAGTGATTTGTATTTTCTTATAAATTTTTTATGGGCTGTGCCATAGACTGAATATTTATGTCTCCTAAGAATTCATACATTGAAACCAAATCCCTAGTGTAATGGTTGGAGGCGGCACCTCTGGGTCATTACTACTACTACTACTACTACTACTACTACTACTACTACAATTATTATTATTATTATTATTATTATTATTATTATTATTGGTGTCCTTATTAGAGAGACTCCAAAGTGTTTGTACCTTCTGCCATGAGAGGTTATGGTAGAAGATAGCTGTCTATGATCAGAAAATGGACCACTAGACACTGAATCTGCAGGCTTCTTGACCTTGGATTTGCAGCCTGCAGAAATGTAAGAAAAAAAAAGAATTTCTGTTGTTGACAAGATACTCAGTTTATGCTATTCTGTTGCAGCAGTATAAACTGATTAAGACAGCTTACAAAAAAAATTATTCATAGAGCATTTCAATGTTAGAAGTACTTTCACATTTTTAAAATTTAATTCCTATTTTAATTGATAATGATATATATTTATTGTGTACAACATGTTTTTAAATATGTAAAACTGTAGAATGGCAAAATTGAGCTAATTAATATATGCATTGCTTCACACACTTATCCTTTCTTGTGGAAAGAACACTTAAAAGCTACTCTATCAATTTTCAAGCACATGATTATTGATATTAACTACAGTCACCATGTTGTGCAACAGATCTCTTGAACTTATGTCTTATAACTAAAATTTTGTGTCCTTAGACCTTACCCCAGTATTCTACTCTTTGCTTCTCTGATGTTAACTCTCCAGATTGCACACATAAATTATATCACGTGGCATTTGTCATTGTTTCACTTTATATAATGTCCTAGTTCATTGATGTTGTCAAAAATGAAAGAATCCTTTTCTAAGGTTAAACAGTATTCCATCACGTACACACTATTTTTTTATTCATCTATCTGTCATTGAAAACATAGGGTGATTCCCTGCCTTGGCTGTTGTGATTAATGTTGCAAGGAACATGATAATGCACATATTTCATTTCCTTAGGATATACACCTGTTAGTGGTATTGCTATTTTTTAAATTTCGAGGAACCTCCACACTGTTTTTCATAATGCCTATACTAATTTTCATTCCCACCAACAGCATGCAAAACTTCTCTCTTCTCCGCATCCTCGCCAGCACTTGTTATCTTTTGATAAAAGTCTGGAGAGGCAGTGTTTTATGTTCTGGAATTGTAGAGATGAACAAAAGAAACAAAAATTCCCCTTGTGGAAATTAAATTCCAGTGGGGAAGACAGAAAATCTGCAATGTAAATACAGTATGTTTGTGATAAGTGACAAAAAGAAAATACAAAGCAAAGGAAAGGGCTCAGGAGTAGAGGTTGTGGAGTGGGAAGTGACATTTTCAACAGGGTCCAGGAAAGACCTCACCAAGCAAGCCCAGAGACTTACACATTTGGTTACATCCTTCTGAGACACATCACACCTGAAGCAGACTGAGAGCCCAGTGTGGCTGTAGTGACTCAGGTGCAGAAGGTAAGATCATAGCAAGCCAGACTGTGAGGGCCTTTTATAAGGTACCCAAACCAACTTTTTCTATGAGTGGCTAAAATACATTTGGAGAATTCAAAACAAAGAAACAGAGTTCTTTAAGTAGTTGCAAGACCTTTAGTAGGTCATTGATCTGAACATCAGTTTTCCAGCCCCTTAAATACAAAGGTAGAACCAGGCAATATCTAAGCTTTCCTCCAGCTATAAAAATTGATTCTAGACATATAGAGTATGCAGGGTTCCCATAAGCAAATTGCTAATAAAAAAAAATTAGCTTCCCCCCCCTCATTCTTCTCTATGGCTGTGAAAGTCAACGATGGCGACCCAGCACAGAATTGGAAGGAAACCTGAGTGGACCAGGGGATTGTCTACGTGGGAGGTGTGACAGTAACTGCACATTACTGTGCAAGAACCACTTATAAATTGAGACTTTGAGAGATGGGTAGTGACAGTGCAGACTTACTGATAAGTTAAGTCGACTCCCAGGAGCATGGGGTATGTCCTAAAACAGATTGAAATATTTACCTGCAGAATAACACCCTGCCTGGGAAAACAGGGCTCACTCTTTGTAGGCTTAAAAAGGCAGTAAAAGAAGATCAACATCTTTTTGCTCCACATTAAATAAAAACCTAAAAATAAGCATTTTCCTTTCTAATAATTTCATACCACACATGGCGTGTGCACTTTAATTTTCAAGTCCGTTTACTTCATTTCTATGAACCATTTGAGCTTTGAATAGTGTCCACCCAGCATGATTTCTGTCTGAATGTGCAAGTGTGTGTGTTTTTCATTCCCTCTTTCCTTTGTCTTCCCAATTGCAACATCCCATAGCTATTTTAGCTAAAACGCAAGACAAAGCCTATTTTGTTTTGTTTTGATTTTTAAATATATCTACTTCTCAGTGACTAAACTATAGCTCCAGACACAGCTTTTTAGTTTCACACAGAAGAATTGCAACTGGACCATTTACTGCTAAACTCAAGCCAATGTTTATAAATTATGTAATTTCTACAAAGCATGCTTTGCTTCTTCGTCCCCTCCCCCAACAATAATGAGATTATTAGTCTATGAGAACATCTTTCAGATGTGGCTAAAAGATTTAGAAAGCCTTCACTGCTCTCATAGTGTATTTTTTGTCACCATTGTATTTTAACAATATAGAAGAAGTTCTATAAAACATGCCAGGAGTAAAAAAAAAACAGTGACCCTGGATTCCAGATGCCTCACTGTGAAGGAAGGACACCAGATCAGAGACCTGTGGCTTCATCACATTTCATGTCCCTAACGCCAGTACAGTGTTACAATGTAAAAAGTGCTCATATGGGTTCTTGTTCTATGAACAAGTGATGACGGAGCAGCCCCCCAGTGAGGCACAAGACTAGGGGATTACCACCTCCCCTTTGCACTTTTCACATGGTTTTGCCTGTCGAAGATCAAATATAATCCATAAGCTGATGTGCAGATGAGGGGGCCCTAGCTGGGGACACAGGATAATACCTGCATCAACTGAAGCCGCTGGGGGCAAGATTGCACATCAGATGCTACCCACACTGCCTACCAATAAGAGATTGGATGGGAGACTCCCACTTGCTTCTCTATCTTCTTCTCTTCAGTTTCTTAAACATCTCCTGCAACTGGGTTCAGGCAGGAAGAATACCAGATATAGACTCTACTACTGCACTTATTATAGTCACCCAAGTCTCTGGCGTCCCTCCTAGGAACAGCCTGGTTCTGAGAGCCCCTCTTACCTCGGCAGCAGGGACGCCCTCCGGCGGACGGCAGTGGAGCACTATCATGCCTTCAATGGGAACCTCCCTTCCTTGTGGATCTTGTTCAAAGTTTTTCCGTAAATCTGTGAAGAAGTATGAGAAATATGATGATTTTCTCTAGGCTGATATTATTCACATTTGTTCTAACTACATGAATCATTGAGCTCAATGTCACATCTTTGATGCCCAGAAACAAGTCACTTGTCCAGGAGTTCCAGAAAAAGAGCATAGTTTCCAAATACTGAGAAACACGGTGGAAAAACACCTTAATAAAACTGCTCCTAATGTTCTCTATCCATGTGAAGGATAAATAAAATTACTGGGGGACAGGGAAAAGAGAACCTCAGCATTTCATGAATCTTTGCCAGCATTATCTGCTTAGCATCTGATGAGACGCTGGGCCTAATAAATTGCCATCCACAGCCATTATACAGTTGAGATGCACATGATGTTTTTTATTAACTAAAGAATGCGTTATTAATCTATAACCTCTGTCATTCCCATAAACCTCGAGGGGGCTCAGGAAGATGGTAATAGAGTGAGATCACCTATTAGTTGTTTTATTTGTAACCAGGGAGAAGGGGCAACATTCAGCCACAACAAAATCTATAACCTATCCAACCAAACATATAATTAAAAAATACAATACCCTTCAGTCAAATAGCAATGCTGGGTATTTGGGTAGTGCCCTTCACGGAGGGCTTGAGGCACTTTGCAAACAAGCTGCACTATTAACCTTTTACACACGGAAGGGTGACGCTTTAAGAGGTTAATTGGCTTGCCAGTGGTCACAAAGAGCATCAATGCCAGGGAGAGAAAAAAAATCCACTAAGCTTCCTGACACCCAGTCTGACTGTCAACCAGCAAAGCCTCCTAAAGGAAAAGAACAACACAGGGACAGCTCAGCCAGAGACAGCTTCATTTGCATTGCTCTCTCCTTAAGCATATGCTTCATTAAAAAAGGTAGGGAGTTGGCCTTTGCTTCCTGGAAGGTGTCACGCTAACACACTCATCATCTTCTGGTATAAAGGTAATTCCTGCTGTCACCTGAATGCATGGGACAGTGGAGTCAAGACAGGTTGTTTACAAGTCTTCCTCAAATTAGAAGATTTCCCCCTCCCTCCCTGACAATATATTTTTCTTCAAATTGAGTATCTCAAATTATGGGCTGTAGATTTATTGATTTAATTTTCTTCAGTGCTTACAATAACATGAAATATGTTCCCTTTAAGGAGCAGAGCTCCAGAATCAGTTACATCTTTATAAATTGTATAAATACATTAAACTCGCTTTTAGCAAGTCAAAAACACTCAATGAATAACAAGCACCGCAATCCACGAATTCACTTTCCTCAGAGTTTTACTCTTAATGGTTTTCCTCCCAGAGGCAACTGATGTCTTTAGTCAGTAGCAGGGCCATATATTCAGAGGACTTCATGAACATATTGATGGCAAAATATCTCAAAAGGACTCAAATTGCAACCAGTTGACAAGATCCATCCTCACATTTCTCTGCTGTCCCCTGAGTTGCAGAGCCAGCTTGTATCCAAATTCTGTGGCTAATTTCCTCAGCCCATTATGATCTAGGACTTCTGACTCCAAGTGTGAAGAATTCCTGTAACTCACAACAAAACCTGACTGACAGTACTGTGAGTAAACCTAAGAATTAGAAATCCTGAACTTCCTGCAGGTAGGATTTGACCACTGATCCTCCTCTGCTGTCCAATGAGGGATATCTCAGTCAAAACTCTCTTCTCCATAGGACCTGGTCACTTATCAGAACTATATCAAATCTATCAGAGAGAGAGTGATTGTAACATATGAGATATCTGTTTGCTAATGGAAGGATTTGTCGTGTGTGTGTGTGTGTGTGAGAGAGAGAGAGAGAGGCAGAGAGAGAGAGAGACAGAGAGAGAGAGATGTTTTTTGTGTGTGTATATGTGTGTGTGTGTGTGTGTGTGTGTGTGTGTGTATGTGTGAGAGCGATGTTTTGTTTTCACTTTTTTTTTCCTTCTTGTTTTGGTCACTGTGTTTTCATTTGGTGCTGCTAAAATGATGGTTGAAGTTTTGAAAAATAATCTGTATCAACCAGGTGAAGTATATAAAACTAATAGTGGAAATTTCTATTTATTGTCTAATTCTATTTCATTTTTTTGCACACTAGAAACAGAAAGTTTAATAAATGCTTAGTTTCTGCTTTTCTCCACACTTAACTACATTGGTGGTGAAAAGAAAACAAGCCATTTATCTTTCCCATTCCCAGGAGATAGATAATTAAATATGCATATAAAAAGGGGAAAACCCTGAATTGACACTGGGACCCAGGAAAGGGAATACCCATAAACGAGGCACTTGGAGGAATTTCTGGTAGATCTCATGCAGGAAAGATCACTCTGAAAAAAGGACCAAGCCAACCTGCTCTGCTATCGCAGGGACATTCAAACTCATGCGAAGAAAAGATTTCCAACAGGGAAGCACATACTTACTTTCCAATGTGCAGATAAAAAGATTACAGATTAAAGGCAATGAAGGAGGGTCATAGAACAGGAGGGATGTCATATATGCCTGAAGATATGATAGAGGATTAACGTCATAAGTGATGATGGGCAGCTGATCAGGCACTGGGCATCACATTCGGTGAGAAACTGGACAATCGCTGCCTACACCTGATCCTTGTGTGATGTCACTGACTCCTGAGGAGGACCAACACCTGAATGCTAAGAAGGGTCAACCTAGAGACAAACTCTTGCTAGGTACTAATTATGCCAAAACTAAAACTTGGGGAAATCAACTTTTGGACACGGGCAAATGCTTCCAGCTCTACCCATGATTGTCACCACAAGTCCCTCAACCGAATTAGTTTCTGAATAGGCATTCTAAACACTGTTATCACCTATGTTCCTTCCAAGGCTTGAAAGACTCAGACAGGAGCCTGTGTATTTTCTAATAGTAGAGAAAACATTCCTAGCTATGTGAAAAAGAACTACACTACAAAAAAAGAAAACAAGAGAGAGAAATGAATTACAGTAGATGGGGTAGAGAGAGAAGATGGGAGGGGAGGGGAGGGGGGATAGTAGAGGATAGGAAAGGCAGCAGAATACAACAGACACTAGTATGGCAGTATGTAAAAAGTAGATGTGTAACCGATGTGAATCTGCAATATGTATATGGGGTAAAAATGGGAGTTCATTATCTGCTTGAATCAAATGTATGAAATACGATATGTCAAGAGCTTTGTAATGTTTTGAACAACTAATAATAAAAAAAACAAGTAAAAAAAAGAAGACATCATAAAATTGCAATTAAATATCTTCCTCTAAGAAGACAAGAAGACAGACTCATTTTTTTTTGGACAATTTCTAATTCAATTTCTTTAAAGTTAAAAGGCAACAGCAACTGAGAAGCAAGAGTGGGGAATTATGAGAGGGATAATATCTGAGATCAATAAACTGCCAATATTAAGAAAAGAAACACAACTGCTGAATTAGAAACACACACAAACACACATATTTAGGTTAGGGATTTATGCATTTCTGTTTATATATAACATAAGTAACATACAATATGTGTATAGCATTGCAAAAAAACAGAATGGATGAAATAGAAGCCAGGTCTGTCAGTCAGGATTCATCCAGTAAAACAGAAAGGACACTAGTTGTTTTAACAGAAATTATGGACACAAGAAACTGGAGGATCAACAAGGAAAGGGAGAATAGCAGGAAGCAGATCCTGTTTGGGGGATGGGGATGGGAGGACACATAGAAAAAGCCAGAGATATTAAACTCTGAAGCTTAAAGGGCATCCAAACACCCATGAAGAGGACACTGGGCAGCCGGTGCTCAGGGACTTGGGTAGAGGAACTGAGGAGTGGAGACTCACACTCAAAGCTTGCTGCACCCAAAGCCTGCTGCTAGCATCTCTAAGGAGCACAAGGCAGCTGGCTCTTGGAGAGTTTTGTAAAAACCAGCTGGAATCAAGAAGCAACTTGCACTTCCAGGATGAAGAAAATCTGCTGAGGTGATGCTGACAGGGAGAGAAAATGAACAGCACATGTTCTTTCTCCCTCTTCCTCATGTTCAGCCCCTGCTGCTGCCTTTTTGGTAGAACTTTAATGGGAGCCAGAATCTAGCACAGGAGTCCCAGCCCCAGCTCCAGAAATCATGGGTCAGCAGGAGTAGAGACTGGCATTCACTGTGTCAGGAAGCAACTCGATGCAGTCTAAGAAATGTCCTCTAGCAAGGCACTTATAATGACTTGCTCCATATCTGTTTCCTTGTTATGTTAGATCATCAGTTCTGTGAAGGTGAGTTCTATGTGTGAGAAGCACTTCCCTTTATTTTTAGTGTCTCTTGCAAAATCTGATACAGAGAATAAATACACAATAAATACATGAGGAATACATGAGGCAAGAGGAGGTGATAAAGTGTTAATGACATTGCCAGAAAAAGGATGAAATAAATGACAAAGATAATGTGCAGATAGAGCAGTACAGTATTATGCATAATAGGGATTTTTAAAAGGGCACAACAAGCTGAGAAAAAAATCAATTTAATAATGATAATAATTCTCTGAGCTGGAAAATGACTTGCGTTTCCAGAAGGGATCATAGGATACAAAGAAAAAAATAGCATTTAAAAGAAAAAAAATACTTACATATATCCCTAGTTGACACGTTGAATTTTAATAAATTAATACAATTGTGAAAGTAATAATTTCACAAGTATTTTTTTTCAAAAAATAAGTAAAAAAAGTAATTAATAATGTAGTAAATACCAGGATATGCCATGATTTCCTTGTATCACTATATATCATATTTCGATTCATCACATTCCTTGTTCTGGTTTTAGAAAATAAGCTTAGGCGTTAATTTTCTATTTCTAAACATGGTTATGATTCATGAGTAAAATAATAAAAATATAGTGTCAGAGACAACATAGGGCCAAGAAATTATGATCCCTCTTATATATCCTTTCTGAAAAGGAAACATTACCTTCTCTAATAATCTATCAGAAAACAAGTCAAAGTAAGAGATTGAGTATTTAGAAGTTGTAGTTTTAAAAAAACTTGGCAGCAGGCAATACCAT